TTTTGTTAAAAAAAAAAAAAAACCGACAGCAAACAATTATTCAACAACTAGAACCCGGAGCTCCAGCTGCTCCCAGCTTAAGCCTCAGTCGACACGACTACTCTACTTATATATACATATAAAACACAAGGACTGACTTCGGGGAGAGGAGTGAGAGGCACTATCGGGGCTCGGGGGCCCAAGTCCTCTGGCTGCCCCGCAGGCTGCGCGTGAAGGGCGGGTAGTTGAGGACTCGAAGCGCAGGCTCTGCTCGGTGGTGTGGTGGCCGCGGAGCAGCCGCTTCATGAAGTGGACCTCGCGCTGGTGCTGCCGCGTCTTGGAGCCCTTGCGGGGCCGGCCCTTGCGGGTGAAGGCCATGTACCAGCCCTCGTACTTGGCGTTCTGCAGGGCCGTGTAGTTGTTCTCCAGCACGATCTCCGTGAAGACACAATCCTTGCCTTTGCCGTTGCTCTGCAGGTAGGAGTGCCAGACACAGCGTTACTGGGCTCTCTCCGGAGCCCCCCCATCCGAGGCAGAGGGCAGGCGGCCCCAGACAGCAGGTGGGCACCCCAGCAGATGGCAGGGTGGGCAGGAGCTGCAGCCCCACCCCCTGCCTGGGCACCCGCTCTCTAATCCCTCACAACCCGCAGCCCACCCGGCAACTTCCTGTCCTCCTGGGCAGCAGTGACACATGGCTATCTACCGAAAGGGCTGGGCCCCAACACAGAGAGGCAGAGAGGGGGCCCAGACCCTGCCTGCCCTGGCCTGCTGCCCACCAGTCTGGCCTGAGCAGCTAGCACCCGTTTCCCCAGCTGCCCCCCTCAGTCCCTGAGGATTCCAGCTCCAGGGCCCCTGGGCAGCCACCCTATGGGGGAGGGGAGGCCTGCGAGGAGGCGCTGAGCCTCAAGCCCCAGAAGCCCAGCAAGCGGGGAGCTCGAGGCTGGAGAGGAGCCGTGACTAATGGGGCCATTTCAGAGCTCGGCCGAGGGGCTGGGCCTGCGGCTTACTGAACATTCCAAATGCTGGTACCATGTAATTGGACATAATAGCAAAGCAATTTGGCGATTTGTTAAAAAGATATATGGAATTTACCAACCTCCCCCAAGCCCCTTCCCTAGCCTTCCTTCTTCCCTCTTTGCCTTTATAGCTTTTCATCTCTCAAGCAGTTCCCTTCTCCCTCCCCTCTCCCTCCCAAGCATTAGGTAACCCCAAGGTGGCCCTGTGGCCCTCTGCCCACCTTGTTGACATCCTAGAGGAGCTCCGCCAGCCCAGCCACTGCCCAGGCCCCCGGCCCCCTCCTCCCGGCCCCCTTCCTCCTGGGGCTTCACCTTGGCAATCAGCTTCCCCTTCTTGTTCATGCAGATGTAGAGACCCGTCTCAGCTCCTCGAACCCGAACCCGGCTCCCAAAGGTATCTGTTTCCACAATGAGCTTTGCTGTCCGGGACAGAGGAAGGAGGTTATTGGAAGCTCCCCGACCCCCACTGACCTATGTCCTCACCCCAGCTGGCCCACAGACTTGTCACGTCCTAGCAGCACCTGCTCGGAGGCCCAGGCACCCAAGAGGTGGGCATCGGCCCCCTAGGTAAGATCAAGTCCCCTTGCCGGGTCTCAGGCCCCTCACCCAGGTTTACAGAGGAGGATGGACGAGATCATGGTGTACCGGCTGGGCTCTGCAGAGTGGTTTTGGGGGCCATCAAATTAAAAAGAGCCTCTTAAAACCAGACAGTAAATGACTTTTATGTCAAGGCTTCATGACTAGAGTTCTGCTACTCAAAAGATCCAAGAGAATCTTTCCAACTCAAAATATTACGTGCACATGCCTACAGATAATTATATACATCTGGGTGCAGCGGTGACCTCCAGTCCTGAGGCCAAATGTCGAAGAATTCCCTCCTGCTTCTGGCACCTGGGGCTCTAACTCACATCCCTGGCCACCCACCCGCCGCCCTTCCCCACTGCTGCTCTGCTGAGGAGGGGATAGGGATGGCGCAGCTCTCCCTAACACAGCCCAGCCAGGACTCAGACACCAGCTTGGAGGGTCCTGCCTCTTCCCCAGGCTTCCCAGGCACGTAAGTCCCCAGCCCCAGTGTCCAGAAAGCAACAACTCATCGGTTTTTCCTCTTTCAACCTCCATCACAGCTCGGCTTCTCACCCCGGTGACCCGCCCTCTCTGTGGGTGTGGAGGGAGAAGACCAGGCACACTTTTCTCCCAGTCTGGAGAGGAAACATGGAGCTGAATTCTATGCCTTCTTCCCCCTCCTCCTTGCCTTCAGGCAGCCAACTTGCCACAGAACCAATTCCTCCCCACTCGCTAGGTAACTCCTCCCTCTGAGGCTGTCCCCACGGAGGGAGTGAGGGCTGAGTTAGCCCTTTGGGACAGAAGGGGATGGGTGTCCTGCCCTCCCTACCGCAGAGCTCAGCCTCTTCCCTCCTTGAGAAAGCGGTTCTGGGACTCCCAGAGCTGCCTCCCAGTCTACACTGACAAGGTGGCACCTCCTCTGCCTCTGAAACTACTGGGAAGATGGGCATCAAGGTCAGCAAGACAGCCCTCATCGTCCAGCCTGTGACTGCCCACCCCCTTCACATAGGCACAGAGCTGGGACCCAGCAGCCAAGACCTCAGTCTGGCTCCAAGTCAGCCAGGGGAAATGCAGCTGTCACCTCTCCTCCCACCCACCTCCTTTTGGATGCAGCCAGTCTGCTCATCCCTTTCCTGGTCCGTCTTCCTGAGCCAGGAGCGGGTGCTTTTAAGGGCCAGGAAGGACACTGACAGGCGAAGGGCAAGAGAGGACCCCACTCAGAGGACCTTGGCCAAGCGGGGCAGATCGGGATGGAGTAGGCGCCTCGTCACTTCCTGGGGCCATCAGGAAGCAGCTAGGACCTCCCTGCTGCTCTTTTCCAGACGCTTCCTGTCCTGGCTGGACACCCTGGGTCCCTGCTTTGGGGCCCCTCTGCTTCTACTCCTGCTGGGCGAGCAGGGCCCAAGGAGCCTCAGGAGAGAAGCGGGCACCAGCCCCCTGATGTTGAAGACGAGTTCTTCCATGGCCAGCGCAGCCTCTTCTTCCCTCCCCAAAACCCAAGGATGCCGGACCATTTGCTCTGATGGAGGAAACCCAGAAGGAGCCAGGCAGGCATTCGTTCCCTTTCCTTGGAAGCTGAGAAGGGCAGCCAGCAGCCACTTTGGAGGGACAAAGGGCCGATTGGCTGGCCCTGCCAGCCCAGCGGGGGAGCTCGGCCACCGTGCAGGCCGCCCCCACCCCCACCGTCCAGAGCCCCCACTCTCCTTCCTGGATGTTTCTGGGGAGCTGGGGCTGCAGTTTACAGCGGCTTTCCCGGCCGGGCTTTTGGAAAGCTTAACATTTTCAAACCTATTCTTCCACCCAGTGACAGATTTATCCCAGGAAAATTATGTCTCCTTCTCCAGCTTTGAAGGGAAGTCAGCTACGTCGACGCAGAAAAAATGCAGCGAGACATACTCGATCCCCCAAACTGGCTCGAGAAGAGGAGAAAGTATTCAGGAAATGTTAAAAAAGGTGAAAGTAAGAAGAGTTTTAATCGCTCTGCCAGACGCGGGGGTCTCTCCAGAGATTCATAGAGAACAATCTTGAACCTCTTTTTTAACATTTACAGACTTGCAACTCTTTTCAAACTCCACATCTGAAAAAGGGCTCGTTCTTTTTCTGTTTTATATCATTCTTCATTTTTCTTCTGAGCTCTTAAAGTGCCTCACCTTTTTATTACATTTTAATAGAGTCTTCCCCTCTCCTTTCATGCTTGTTTAACTTGGTCATTATTTAAAGGTTTTTAAACTCACAATAATCGTGCTCTAAAAACAACACCAGCCGCCCAGAGGGCTTGCTTTTCTCCGGGTACATCAGGACTCTGGAAACTGGCCTTGTTTCCAGGCAGGAATATTGAATGTTTTAGAAATCAATCAGTCCTCAGCCTCTCCCCCCCCGCAGTAGCTCCCTGTACTCAGCACCCCACAGGGAGCCGGCTCTGACCCACCACCTGGGTTCCTGGGTAAGTGGAGCAGAGAGGGCCCCTTCCCAAGCCTCGTTCCCATGTGTGACTGACCCTTCTGATCACAACATTTAAAGGTTCACAGCAACCCCCCCCCTCTAGCTGGGAGAGTTGGGGGGACTTCTCTCCCTTCTCTTTCCCACTCTCCTTTTGTGGGCCCTGGCGACATATCCTCTTTCAAGAGCTTCCCTGAAACCTGGCCCCCTCCCCCTGAACCCTCTGCCTCCACCTGCAGCTGGGGAGGGGTGTATGAAAGGGGGAGGTGTAAAGGGAAATTCCTGGATTCATTCATCTGCTGGGCAGGGAAGGGGCACCTGTGGGCCAAGTACTCCCCAAGGTCCCTTCCCCAGACCTCTCTTCTCCAGCTGACCCCCAACATGCGTTTTTGGCCTTAACCCCTTGCCTTCTGAGCTGGGGAGCCTGCAGGCCCCTGGCCCATGCAGTGAGGGCTGATGGGTGCAGGCCCAGCAGGCCAGCCGGGGGCGGGCAGGTTCCGCCAGCTACTGCAGGCTGCACCGCGCAGCCGCCTGACCGAGGGGATCCCCGCCTTACCGAAGGGGTCCCCGTCCTCCGCCATGGCGTTGATGCGCTTGTTGGCCAGGACCTGCACGTGCTTCCCGCTGGTGCGGCTGTAGAGCTGGTAGGTCCGGATGAGGCGGCGGCTGAGCTGATCCGTCACCAGGCTCTGCTCCCTCACATGCTGTGTAAAATTAGGTGAGGACTGAACAGTTACCTTTAGGAAATTGAAAAATACACAACACGCCATTATAATGCTACTCTGCCCAGGGGCCCAAGTGGCCCCCATCGCCCTGTCCCCCACCCCCCTCCACTGCCCCCGGCAGCCGGCAGGGGCTGGGGGTCCCCCCCAACATGCCAGCTCAGGCCACCACCCCCCTCCCGGGAAAGCCGGGCAGACCCAGCCTCACGCGGACGAGCCGGGGACGGGGAGGGTCCGGACCCACCTGTTGGGAAACACCCTGGGACTCGCGGCCGGCTGGGAACAGGGAAGCCAGCCCCCTGCCCGGCGCAGGCCCCCCGCCCGGGCCTTCCTGGAAGAGCAGGGCGCTGTTCAGGGGGGAGGCAGCGCGGCCCGACCCCTGACATTTATAAAGACGAATTCGCGGAGCAAACGCCGAGCGCGCGGAGGCCGAGGCACCTGATCTTTCCCGCAGGCCCGGCCCCCAGCCTCCCCCGAGAGCCGGGAGAGCCCCGCCGCGGTCACCCCGACTTCTGACCACGACCGCCCCCTTCCTCCGGCGCCAGGTGTGTCTGCCCGCGAGTCCCCCCTCCCGCCCCCCGCCCCGGCGAAGGACCCGGTGAGCCCCGTGCGGGTACTCCGACCGGCCGTCTGTGTTGACCCCGGAGTCCGGGCGGCTCCCCTGCTCGGGGCCTGCCTTTCCCCGTTTCGGAACAGGCCGGGGGGCCCCTTTCAAAGGATCCCCCGGGCTCTGGGTGGTGGGGGTTAGGTGAAGAACCCGTGGGAGTATGCTAT